TCCTTGTCTAATCCACTGTTTACTATACATGATAAAAATGTTGTAGAAAATTGTGAATACAAAAATACCCTTCCATCTTGCCCTTCTCGTATCAGAGCATTTGCACAGAGAATCGTGGAAAACCACACACAGATGTTGTGACCTAAAATTTGACCCTTCCCTTTGAAGCATTCGTGGACCAAAAATTCAAGAGGTTAGACGGCCATTGTCGGTTCATCCATCTCGGCGTAGCTTCTACAATACGACCATAGCACCAGCGAAGTCGTTCTGGAGCGATCAAATTGCAGAATTTGACACCTGCGAGTCTAGGTAGGTTAAAACACAGTCGAAAAAGAACTAAGAAGGAGTAACGGGAGCAGCTAGGGCAACACGAAAACGACGAGCAGATCTGTGCATTTTTCGGACGTATTTGTTATATTTATAAATCCTATTTCCGTAGTTTTCATGACACTGAGGGGTAGAAAAGATATTTTACAGCCTCTTTTTTGGACAAAATTGGAACATTAGCAATTGGGATAAAATTATCCGCCCAAAATGGCCGGACAAAATTAACCACGCACGTCACTTTAATGAGGTGGGTCCCACATGCCACACAATCAACACATTAGCTATATCCTAATCCCTAACCAACCTTATCCCATCCTATCACCTCTAGTAAACGAGGCCCAAAGGAATACGGTTCGGAGCTTCGCCTACCACTTAATTGTACACAAAAAATAACAAATAAAATTCTAAACATACTAATCATTATGATTGTGATTGAATTACGACTAATTAAAGCTATAAATCGAGAGCATTGAATTAAAGATGCAAGCTTTAGAGAAAGTATAGACGGGAATTTTGGTTTACCGGAGTCTCGATAACCGAAAAAAAACACACACAAATGAAGAGAAATATGCACGCACCAAGTTCCTAAGTAATTAACGCAAGCTTTCTAAAACTAAATCATTGAGCTTTAATCAAAGTTTCAGCCTTTAAAACAAGATAAGCAAGTATTTAACTCCTATAGGCTATAATCACTTAGACAAACAATGAAGATAAAAAGCTCCAAACTTTCCTCCATTTATCAAGCAAAAACACAAGTCACCTTGAAAAATTTCATAAGCAAAAGCGGAATTTTGTCCTAGGAACTTATTAATTATTTGGCATATTGATTATTCTAGATGCCATAATGATTAAGGAGAAATATTTTTCTTGTCAACTTTAGATGATTCACAAGAGGCAGCTTATATGAAAATTTTTCTTGTCAACTTTGGATAAGGAACCAAACATGAAAACTGAACTAGCACCACATACCATCATTACCAACAACTAAAGAATTAAAATGGTTCCTTCACACTAAGAAAACTGAAGAGAAAATGCTACCAAATAAAGTCCACAGCACACCACACACACTAATACGGCATATGATCAACAATCCCACCGCTGGTGATGGAGCTTGAGGCGGCGGTCGCACTGCTCCTCTCGGCATGGCAGAGCTGGCGGAGCTTGGTGGGGACGTACCACACGCAGAGGCGTGGATGGGCATTGAAAATGGCGTCGATGTCCCATCCTTGCCTGGCAGCCACGGCCACAAGCGGCTTGTAGCAAGCCTGCCGCCAGGCGCCCACATTTTCGCCCCTCTCCTTGAAAGCCCTACGGAGGGCGTTTGAGGTCTCCTCATCCAGGCAGTGGAGCGCGTAGCAGTGCACGTAGTGTCGCATCTTGGGCTTGTTGATGTAGTTGGCACCAGCCTTCTTTGCATACCTAAACACCTGATTCGTTACCTGAAAAAAGAGAATTCATTGCTAGAGAATTGAGAGTTCATATCATAATGCATGACTACATAACAAGAGAATTCATTGCAAATACTAGTTTGGTTAATTTATTGTCTAAACAACGGACTACTTGTCACATTCAATATGCAATGAACGTAGTTATTGATTATAACGACAGAAAGTTTTCAGGATTATCAAAACGACACTTAGTGCGATACAATCAAAACAAACTATTTCAATCCAAGCATATGAGAGTGCGATACAACCAGCTGAAGTACCGACATTCGATACCACCGTCCACAATAGAGTTTCCGGCTGAATTTAGGGGAGAAAAAAAAGAAAAAAGATAGAAAAAAAAAGGGGAATAGACTGATGTGCAGATGATTCTTTGGGCCCCCTCAGTTTTT